TCATATTTAAAATCTACATATTGTTTAAAAACACACACATTCGGTACAAAATACATTTGTTCTAGATGCTGTACTTTGAAATTGTCAATGATCCCCCTTCCCCCTCCAAAAAAACGCAATGCATCATTGAGAGTGGCATACACTTCGATCATGGCAACAAGCTGCGTAATAATCTTTTATTCGTGGTCATTCACCGAACGAAATTCTAATTATACTGGTCACTACGGTGTTCAAGTCTCGCTAGTCCGACTGTGATTTCTATAGAGAATGCCAACAACCACACGAAAGCATCATGTTAGCCGGTTCAATTAACTGCCTGCTGGGAGCGATTATTCCAGCCTCGGACACCAGCATCAGAGGAATGCTGATGATAATAACGAAGAAGCGAACATGGAGATGTAAAGACATGGCTTTAAGGTTGACCAAATAGTGGCAATATGATGAGAAGCTGGGGACAGAGCCGACCAAAAGAGTCCGGTGTGAGTCGGATGGAAGGAGTGCGTCTATGTGCGCCTGTGTCTGGACTGTAAATGCTTGGGAATGGCTTGATCTCATGCAAGAGACGCAGAAATGTAGCCAAAAATGCCTATCGGCCTGGGCTGGCCCAATGCCAAATTGGCGAAAGGTAAAACAACACAAATTGCTTCTGGTCCACTAAGTTGTTCAGACAATGGTTCACAATAAACCCTCCATCTACACGCCTATTTCAGTTCTCCATCTAGCCACTCTCTCATCTACACGGTGATGTTATTCTTAGTGGGAAAATGGATGGACGTTGCAAGCTTAACTGGTTTCCCAGACTGGTAGGAGTTTGGACGGAAACGGTAAATAAGGTGGATAGTTTGTTCAGAGCTATTTGCCAAATCTGTGCAGAAGGAGCATATCCAGGCCTAAACACGAATGCTTTCTGTTCTGACACGAAGTTCTGGGCGAAAGATCGACATGTTGTTGTGTCCCTCAGACTTTTAAAAAAAGATCAAGGTGACAGCCTTCCTTCAAGCCAACACGTTTTAAAGCGATTGACAAACTGGTTCGGTTCTTTAACAACTTGCCCGAAAAGAAAATAAAGTATTGAAACACTATTTTAAAATGACTGAGCGCCAACTTTCAAAGAATCCTTTCATAAGAGGAAATATTACTTTTCATTCTCCACCAAGCTCGGTTTGTGGCTAAGGCTCACGGCTGCTGATAGGATAGAAACAACAAAGTCTACCCAAGTTATTACATCTCAATGAATTTCGTTGGCCTAAATAGTCCCCTTTCACATTTTAGGCAGAATCATCATAAACAAACCTGTTGCCCCGTCGGGTGGTTACGCCTCAAGCTCGAGCAAATGTATATTGGCCATCTACCGGAAACAGGGCACACAAGGTCGCCATGCCGTCAGGTCCTCCTGTCTCAAGCGGACCAGAGACCACAGCAACTGCGTTTCAGGCTGTCGCAGCACCCGCTTAACGGGCTTCGACATCATGAAGTGTGCGAATTCCCGCTGTTCGCCCAGCTGCCAGACGATAGCCCAAGAACTAGACATGCGGCTCCTTTGAACACAGTACTTTAATTATTATGCTTGACCCACATGGACATCAAAGATACCTGTTTCTGAAGAGTCCACACAATATTTATCTACAGATAGTCTAGTAATGCCTTAATCCGTATATAAATCATAGGCTGTATTTATAGATGATCATGATTCCAAAAATCTATCTATTTATGTGTACAGTAGCCGATAAACTTAAATAAAATTACATCAATTGTTATAGTAGTCACCGAACGACAGATGTGCAGAAGCATAAGAGAGAGTGTATTCTGCAGATTTGGTTTTGAATTTGAGAATAGATGCGGGACGAAAGACTGAAGAAGAGTGATGCTAATAATCATGGCAACTCAGTTGGTGGTCGGAGTCAATAAAGTAGTAACATTGAAACATAATGAACAGAATGACGTCGTATAAAGAAGAGTGGAGAGATGGTGAAATAGGAAAATGAGAAGAAAAAGAAGGAGGAGAAGGAGGTGAAGGAGGAGAAGGAGA